CCCGCTGAGCCCGGCCTCTGGCACACAGGCGCCCGGACCGCCCGCGGCCGAGCCATGAAGGACACCGACCGGGAGGCCGTGGCCACGGCGGTGCAGAGGGTCGCGGGGATGCTGCAGCGCCCAGACCAGCTGGACAAGGTGGAGCAGTACCGCCGGAGGGAGGCGCGGAAGAAGGCGTCCGTGGAGGCCAGGCTGAAGGTGGGGACCTGGGGGTGCCCGCGGGTGGGGCAGCCGGCTCCTGGGGTGCCTCCCTGGCGGGGCCTCACGCGCCCCCACCCTGCAGGCCGCCATCCAGTCGCAGCTGGACGGGGTGCGCACGGGCCTGAGCCAGCTGCACAGCGCGCTGGGCGACGTCAAGGACATCCAGCGCTCCCTGGCCGCGGTCAGCACGGACTGGCGGCGCAGCATCAGCACCGTGGAGAGCCTCCGGGGCGTGAAGGACGCTGTGGTGCGGCACAGCCAGCTGGCGGCCGCCGTGGAGAACCTCAAGAGCATCTTCTCAGGTGGGGGCGCGAGCAGGACAGCCGGTTCCCCTGCCCGCCTGCGGTGGGCCGCTGTGGCGTCCGGCACTGCCTGCCCGCCCTGGCCTGAGGGCCTGGGGCCAGCAGGAGCACCAGGTGCTGCAGCCCCCGCCCCGCCTGGCCTCCCAGGCCGCATGGGCAGGGCGGGCTCGGGCAGGTCTCCGGGCTGCCACCGGGGGAGCCGGGCAGGTGGCCTCCATGGGCCTGCACAGCCCCCCGCCTGGGGGCCCGTGTGTGCCGCCTCTGACCCTCGCTGGTCGCTGGTCAGCCCGGCCAGGGCTCTGCGGCCTGTAGCCGGCCTGTCTGTGACCCGGATGGAGTAGCAGCTGCGAGCCGCTGCCTGGACTGGGCTTGAGTGTCCACGCTCTGGTCTTGGTCCTGGGGACTGGCCGTCCGGTGCCGTCGGCGGCGTCAGCAGCCTGGTCTGGGCCGTGGCTGGGCCGGTTGGGCCGGTGTGGGGTGCTGCCCAGAGCATCTCCCTGGCCGGCCAGATGCTTCCTGCCTTGGCCGCACTTTCCCGCCGCCCGGCCTGGTGACCCTGCCCACCGTGAGGAGGCCTCTGGGCCGGCCCTGCTCCGGGAGACGTCACTGTGGCTCTCACGCCTCAAGCCTGTCGCTCTCCGCTCTGGGCCTCTGTCCTCCGGGGAAGGCTCCAGGGCTGTCCTTGACCTTCGCTGTCCTCTCCTGCTGAGCGCCTGCAGGGCCCCTTGCAAGACTTGGCCCGGGAGACCCGGCGCTTGCATCTGCGGGGCCGTGTGGTCTGTTCCCTGGACGCTCCCCGCCTCTCTGCCATGGCACTTCGAGAGCCCCGGCCCCCTTCGCCGCCCTCGCGGGTCCCGGTGTTGTCCCCGCCCTCCGGTCTCTGTCCTGGGGCCGAGGGGCGGGCTCCAGCTCTGAGCCTTTGCCTGGCGCTGGGGCCACCTCTGGGCTCCCCGATTGCAGGCCTAGGGTTGACGCCTGGCTCTCAGAAGGGGACGGGTCGCTCGCTTTGCGACCCTGGGCGGCGTGGCCGGAGGGGTGGGCTCGCCAGCATCGGGCCCAGGACGGGGTCTCCGCTGCCGGGGCGGGGGCCCGGGCATGCACCTGCCTCCCTGGCGGCCACGGCCCCACCCGGACCGGGGCCAGGCCGAGGCCGAAACTGGCGCGGCTGGTGGTGTGGCTGCAGCATGGACGTGGTGCGTCCGTGGTAGATGTCGCCCAGGTGGCTGCCTGGCAGGGGGGGCCCAGCGCCTGCCCGGGCAGCGCCCGCCCTCGGCTCTGACGCCACCCTCCGGTTGCGCCCGGTCCGCAGTGCCCGAGATCGTGAGGGAGACGCAGGGGCTCATCGAGCAGGGCGCGCTGCTGCAGGCCCACCGGCGGCTGATGGACCTGGAGTGCTCGCGGGACGGGCTGATGTGCGAGCAGTTCCGCATGGACAGCGGGAACACGCGCGACATGGCGCTCATCCACAGCTACTTCGGCAGCACGCAGGCGCTCTCGGACGAGCTGGCCAAGCAGCTGTGGGTGGTGCTGCAGAGAGCCCTGGTCACCGTGCGGCGCGACCCCACCCTGCTGGTCTCTGTGGTCAGGATCATCGAGCGGGAAGAGAAGATTGACAGGCGCATCCTCGACCGCAAGAAGCAGACGGGCTTCGTGCCCCCCGGGCGGCCCAAGAGCTGGAAGGAGAAGATGTTTGCCGTCCTGGACAAGACCGTGACCACGCGGATCGAGGGCGCGCAGGCGGACACCCGCGAGTCCGACAAGATGTGGCTGGTGCGCCACCTGGAGATCGTCAGGAAGTACGTGCTGGACGACCTGGTGGTGGCCAAGACCCTGCTGGCGCAGTGCTTCCCGCCCCACTACGAGATCCTGGCCGCCCTGCTGCGCATGTACCAGCAGGCCCTGCGCGCCCGCATGCAGGAGCTGGCCGCCGAGGACCTGGAGGCCAGCGAGATCGTGAGCCTGCTCACCTGGGTCCTCAACACCTACACCAGGTACTGCCCGCTGCCCAGGCCCGCCCCTGCCTGCTGGGAGGCCGGGTTCTCCCCCACCTGCGGCCCGAGGGGCGCCCGTCAGGCGGCGGGGCTCTGCGCCCCGGGAGGCCCCTTCCTGCG